ATCGCTGGTTCGAATCCAGTATGTTTAGTTAGATTTTTGAATGCTAGTGAAGACAGTGCTCCTATGAATAGGACTTAAATCCTAACTCCTGTGTGAAGACACTCGTGGTACAGTGGACAAGACAGTGCGCTGGGAACTAAAAGATCGCAAGTTCGAATCACGGATTGGACACTCCTACAAAAGACATGAAAGACGTTAAAAACATAAACAGCGGATTCAAAAACTCAAGTCAGGAAAACAGAACACAAGAATACTACCCCACGTGGAAGCCAGCCGAAGTCGTCGAAGAACGAACACAGTTGACAGCTGTAGGTCACGTGCAACAACAGACACGAGGAGCATGGCTGCTCTCCAAATGGGTCCTTTCTTTTGTATTGACCCCCTAAGGATTGCTAATCCCCCTTTCTAACTCTTCCCCCAAAAATAATATATCGCCCCTTTTAAAATGTATTGAACCACAAATTAATGAATATTTATGAGCACAGAAACTGCTACGTCATGAATAAATTAGCATAATTTTAAAAAATTTGCATAAAGTGTAGGTACTCCTTCTGGAGCTCTGCCTAAATTTCAGTTAAAAATAATGGGAATGGGTTTGTGATCAATATAACTCTTGAGAGCCATCTGTCATTATAATAGTCTAAATAGTCTTTGTAATAGTGATCTCGACTACCGGTAATAGCCAGAAAATAATAACAATTATGATTTAAAATCAGTGTTATGAGTCCAAATACGGGGAATTATAAATTCACAGTTCGTCCATCCATACCTGTATCTCAGACCTGCTTTGACCAATCATATTCAAACTTGGCACATACATTACACATCATATCGTACTTGATATGTGCATTAAGCACAATGGGTCCTTGATGCACATAATTTTTATCACTCGATTTTATTCAAAATGGCTGACTAATTTTTCTTAAACGAATGCTGTTTTTTGAGTCATACTGCCGACATGGCTGGATTTGTTCATATGATATCGCCTAATTTGCATAACTTAGCATAGTATGAATCAATTTGCATAAATTAGCAAATTATTGGTGATTGGGGATTATATAACAAAACACAACATGCAAAAATTCAAATAACAAATTTATTCTTTACCACTGCAGAAGTATTTACAGGTAGTGTATAAGCTGCAGACATATAGCACTACAATTATAGAATTGATCAGTCAAACTGTCTGATCCTATTTAAATTCTAAATAATTGAAATTCACCTGGTCTTCACATTGGCCAATTGGTGAAGTTGAACTCAGAAATAGGTGGACCCTCTACCTTGATCATCATCAGTCAGTTCAAAATTTACCACAATAATCACACAGCATGCCTATATTAAGTAAAAAACAGAACAGAAATGTGTTATCGTCAGAAACAAGAGTAATGTCTGTTATGGTTTGTAAATACAAACGACTGTCATCCGTCCCTCAAAACAAACATGGTGCTCGAGGTCACGATTCAAATCAAATTGCATGTTGCTAAAATCGTGGATCACATGCAAGTATTCCGTGCATAAAGTCTTTCTGAAATAAACCTTTTTTCAAAAAATAATAATGGAGAAAGTAAAAATCACCCATCTTCAGACACTGGAATCATGGTTTCTATACATCTGAACGGAATTCCCGTGGAGTGAGGTTCGCTAGCCAGGGCTGCCTTATACAAGACCACTTAAGCAAGTCACTAAAACACTAAAAGGATGTGGAGTATTTTGGCCCGGGATTTTGGCGTGAACAAGATTAAAAACAAGTACTTACCCTTCTCATCTGACGTTACTTTCAACCATGGTTGGGTCAAATTCGGCCTTTCTTTTCTTCTAAACTTTCGACTTAACGGATCAGTGGCAGGCCTCTTTCTAAACGGTGAAGGTACGTGAACTTCCTGCTCGCTAAACAGTACGCAGACGACGGGGGTACATCAGACGTGATTGGCGTTGTATCAGGTTGGTCGGGTCTAAACCACGACAGAAAAAGTACCTTTGTTTTTCGAGGCGTGTGCGTTGAACAATAGCGAGAAACAAAAGATTAGGCTGTCCACAGTAGCGTATTGAATAGGATAATGTCAAGACGATAGTGTATCAGCATAAATTATAGCATATCAGGACTGATACTCTAAACACTCTGGGAAGAACACTGGCTGGACTGATGTTCAAACTTTACACATACATCATGTAATGGCTTATCATTTTTCTGCTAGAAATGTATTATGAATGTCATGAATAAGGGAAGGAATTGCACAAATAAACTTTGCTTTGTATATGTCAGTCACATGAGTGTAAATAATTTTTTCTTTGATTACATTTAACTTTTATGCTTAGCTAGAATATTCCTGTTTTCTCTGACCCTTGTCTACAGTAACCTTGTTTTATATGTCAAATAATAAAACATATTTATATTTGCCTATAACTAATAACAGGACATTTATTGCCCTCTTCCAGGTGTCACACATCTGAGTTCAAACAGAAAAAAATATGTGGTTTGGATAATTTCCCCCCACCTATTTTTGCCAAATCTAGGGACATGGTGTACAACGTATAGGACAACGAGACAATGTATGCTATACAATTGAAATGACATCTTGTCATTGTCAGTGTGTTTTTTACATCTCATTTGAAATTACATCTATTAAAATGGTTTTCTCAAATTAGCAAAGTTTGCCAAAAATTAAAAGTATTTAGTACTTAGGTACTTTGGGGTAATACGTAAACATGATTAGTTTTGGGTCTATTTCTATGCATATTAAGTCACTAATTTGCATATTAATTATTTCAGCCTCAAAAACTTCTCAGCAGATTTTGATTAAACTTGGTACATAGATACATGTACCATGGGGTGATGTGCAAACCTGATTAGTTTTGGAGCCATGGTTGTGCAAATTAAATAGCTAATTTGTGTATTGTCTCATTTCAGACTATGTAAGTAAAATCTCAAAAACTTTAGAACAAATTTGCTATATATTGGTGCTGAATATCAGCTGACTGATGTTAACCTCTAATGCCATTGCTCCTTTGCTGATTGTTAGTTATTTACACTTCTAAGATATGTTTATAATGCTAAAATATGTCCTCAGTGTTTACAAATATTCTGTGGTTTGTGATTACGGGTACATATATACGGGACTGGTGGTTGTAAAATGTGAATTTTTTTTATATATGTAGTTGAAGGGTCAAAATATTTTTTTTTTAGATTTTAAAATAATCTACTATTAATCTACTATATTATTGTGCAGATTGAGAACTCTCTTCTTTGGACACTTTCTTCTTCTATGGACTCCTTGATGCACCAGCTCATAGGAACCATCCAATCAGTGGCCTTAATTAACACATGTGTCCGTTTAATCAGGGCACGTGCCAGGCACATTGTCATCTAAAGGTGACATCTTCCATAGGTCTCATAAAAATATGGTCCCCCATACAATTTCCAAACATAATCCTAGTGTTATTACATTTCTCAGGTTTTTCTAGCATGAACTAGGTGCAACAGGTTCAACAATGAATGCAATATATGTTTTATATGTCAATCCACCCCAAGATTCCCAGTTTTAAGTTATAGTTTTCATTAATGACACCTAACTTGATCAAACAAATTGTTCACAAAAAATATCAAAAATCTAAAATATCAAAGCAAATCGAGTTGGTAGTTTTCAAGAAGAAATTGTGTACCAAAATGACAAAAATATTTGTAAAAATAGAGGATTAAATGATATTGTCATGAAAATGAACAAATAAGATAGAGGTCCATCCACAGTACATGTACCTACTGATCAATTGTCAAAGCCTCCGGCTGGTAGTTTAAAAAGAAAGTGAAAATATCATATTTTACCAAAAATAAATACCGGTAATATTATATGTATACTTATTATACAGGAAGTAGCAGGGCTACCAGAAAGTGTGCAGAATCTATTTCCACATTATTCACTACATTTATATGGTGAAGGCGCCTATGCACAGCGATCAAAGTAAGTCAATTTATGGAATTAAAACAAAATTAGAATGTAGTTCTGACCGTAGAATAGAGTGCTTTAACATTCACATGTAAAAAAAATATGACATTTATTTTTCTAGCATACTAAATCTAGAAAATTATAAAATGTGCTGAATACTAACTTTAATTTGTACACGTGTACATTTTACATGTTGCAACAAAGTCAGAAAATAATATTTTCCACAAATAAATGAATCTTATCAAGCCATAGGGGAGTAAGATATGCTTGTATTTGATAATTGTCATTAATGAGATTTGAGAATTTACTGCATAAATATCTTGTATTTAAAATATTTACACATAGTGAGTAAATCTTTTCCATCACTGCTGTGGAGAAATCAATGTAGGGGATACATCAACATATGTAGACTTTTCTTACCCTTTCTTCTACCTAGGAATATGAAGCTGAATGGTATACCAGTGTTGTTTATCCCTGGAAATGCTGGTAGTTATAAACAAGGTGAGGCAAAAAACCAACCAGGACAAAAAGTTGCCAACCAACACTATTCTATTTGTTTATGATACACACCAGATTTCGGCCACCTGACCACTTGGTTTTAACACACAATAACACAATTCAAAAATCAACACAGGACAAAACTTTAATGAAACAATACACACCCACCTGGCACAGTTACAATATGCAAATCTTATGAGAACAATGTAAAAACAAATTCAAAAACACAACTGTGTTCTGCAATCAAGCATTATTTAATACATGATATATTCTATTCGGGGAAAATGAAATCTGTGCAGGGCTGTTAATTACCGTGGTCATTGATAAATTATTTGCAATAAAGTTTTACTGAGTAAAATTATTGTTTGAATGTGCTGCAGAAGAAAAATAATTTACAAAGATTTCATGATACTTTTGTTATTACAGTGAGGTCGCTTGGATCAGTTGCTTTACGCAAATCTGAAAAGCTGCCTTATCATTTTGACTATTTTGTGGTCAATTTGAATGAAGAGCTTGC